CTCCTCCTCCTCCTCCTCCTCCTCCTCCTCCTCCTCCTCTTTTCTCCTCATTTCCAAAGTATTCCCCCAAAAGGGTCCACAACGGCTGGCGGAACACATAGTCCAAGAGATTAGCCAGATTTGGGCGCAACCTTTGGCCGCATAGACGTTTCCAGAATGCAGTGGGCGGCGGTGATTTGCCAGGTGAAACGTCGATAACACGACGAGTGGGAGTGGGTGTGTTCGGACTCTGGCTCCTGACCCCTGGAGCAGCTTACTCTGAGCTTCTTAATAAGCGTCGGGGGAGCGTCACCCCCGCCGACAGCCTTACATCGACCCCCGTCGCGGGCAGCCACCGCGCGCCGAAGGCGCTCCGACCCCCGTCGCGGCGCGACAACGAGGCGAGGTTGACCCCCGTCGGGGGGGTACCCCCACGCTTATTAAGAAACCCGGAATATCCTCAAACATCCCACTGCCCGCACAACATCAAGCAAGGTCCTGGCGCATCCTCCGACCGTGGGAGCGATGGAGCCACACCCAAGCAATGCTCGAGGAACAAACAGCTGCAGAATCATAAAACATTCGGAGGTCCATGCGGAGCGGGCCAGGAGCGGCGCAGCGGAGGCGCAGCCAGGGAGGCCCGCGCGGACCTTCCAAAGTTTTTGATCCTGCCCCTTCTCTTCTCAAAAAAAACAAGAAAGGAAGTCCAAGAAGGCAGCTGTCGACAGAAACGAGTTTCGGGGTGCTGCGTCGACATGCGCTCTCGGACATCGAGCAGCAAGATGAGCCAGAGCCTCGAAAAAACGGCGGCACCGACGCCAACTCTGCGTCCAGAGCGAGAGACCTCGAAAGCACAGACACGGCCTCGGGAAGCGGGGGACAAGACAGCAGTATCTCGCGGACGGGAAACATGGTAAGGCCTCGAGTTGCGCGGGGGACTCTGAGAAGGGCGAGTTGAGACAACGGTGGATGGCCTTGGGGTGGAGCCCTCGTCACCACAGCTGGACGCAGCTCGGCAAACTGGTGCGTTCGGACCCCGGTGGGGCCTGCGGACCGCGTCTCAACTCGCTCTGTCGCTCTGCTCCGAGAAGCACATCCACGTCCAGACAGCCCCCGGAGGTGGTCCTGGCTGGCCACAAGAGGCCCCACGAGCAGACTGGGGCGGTCTCGACACCCTGGCGCCGCCTCCGGCGCCGCCCCTGGCACGCTCCGCGCCCCAGGCTTGAGGCGCTGAGACTGCCCACGACTACTGTCGAAACCAGCTGAGACTATCTTTAGGTCGGACATGTCCTCCTACAGGCGGATTTTCTCTGAAAATGCCAGATAATCAAACTATCCTGACGAAGGACCCAACCATAAGCAATTGTGGATACCGCGTTCTGGGTCAATGTTTCGACAAACCTCCCTATGGGACCACGAACCGTGAATGAAATGGGCAGCCCGCAGCGGGAAGAGGAAATGGACGTGCGGTGGACGGGGAGGGCGCATGAGGACGCGGCCACTGGGGCCTTCATTCGAGCACCCTATGGGTTCACGAAACGTGTAAGGGGTGTGCCGAAATGGACATGCGGTGGGCGGGGAGGACGCATGCGGAAGCGGCCACTGGGGCCTTCGGTGGAGCTCCCTATAGGGCCACGACGCGTGTGAGGGGTGTGCCGAAATGGACGTACGGTGGGCGGGGGGACGCATGCGGACGCGGCCACTGGGGCCTTCGGTGGAGCTCCGAATGGGGCCACGAAACATGTGAGAGGTTTGCCGAAATGGGCATGCGGTGGGGAGGACGCATGCGGCCGCGGTCACTGGGGCCTTCGGCAGAGCTCCCTATGGGACCACGAACCGTGTGAGGGGTGGACAAACATGTGCATGCGGTGAGCGGGAAGGACGCATGCGGACGCGGCCACTGGGGCCTTCGGTGGAGCTCCCTATGGGGTCACCAAACGTGTGAGGGGTGGGCCGAAATAAACATGCGGCGGGCGGGGAGGACGCATGCGGACGCGGCCACTGGGGCCTTCGGTGGAGCTCCCTATGGGGCCACGAAACATGTGACGGGTGTGCCGAAATGGGCGGAGGGACGCATGCGGACGCGGCCACTGGAGCCTTCGGTGGAACTCCCTATGGGGTCACGAAACGCGAAAGGGGTGTGCCGACATGGACATGCAGTGGGCGGGGAGGACGCATGCGGACGCGGCCACTGGGGCCTTCGGTGGAACTCACTATGGGGGCACGAAACGTGTGAGGGGTGTGCCGAAATGGTCGGGGGGACGCATGCGGACGCGGCCACTGGGGCCTTCGGTGGAGCTCCGAATGGGGCCACGAAACGTGTGAGGGGTGTGCCGAAATGGGCGGGGAGACGCATGCGGACGCGGCCGCTGGGGCTTTCGGTGGAGCTCCCTATGAGGCCACGAACCGTGGGAGGGGTGTGCCAAAGTACGGGGGGTGACGGGAGGAGGGAGTAGGTAGGGCAGGGAGGAGGGAGGAGGGGAAGGAAGACGAGGATGAGAGGAGAGAAAGGCGGGGACCGTCTCTTCAAAACGAGGACCCAACACCACAGGATGGTTGGGGAAAAGAATCAAACATCATCAATAATAGTCGGAACACCGTCCCCAGACTACTTGTTGACTATCCTCGAAAATTCCTCCTGTAGAGGGGCATGCCCGACTTGAGACTGCTGCTGAAACCAGCTGGGACTACCTGGGGGGGCTGTTCACGGCATCGCGGGCCGGGTCCCTGGGCTGCGGCTCCATGGATACGGGGCGTCTTGTGCACAGGCGCCCCGCGAGGAGCGCACCACGGGACCGTGCATCCTCGACCGCGCCCCACAGACCGCGAGGGCGCGGACACGAACATGTTCGCCGCTTGTGAAGTGGCAGAGCCCCCGCTGTCCTGGATCTGAGCGCACCAGCTCGACCATGCCGAGCGGCGCGCACAACGGCGGATGGGGGAGGAGGAGAAGGGGCTCTGCGTCGTGCGCGGCAGGCCTTTGACCACCACCGAATTCGCGGCGTCCCTACGAGATCGCCCTGCGCTGAGACAAAGCATCGAGCGTATGATCACCGAGGCACTGAAATGGCTCGTTCTATCGATACTCCCCGCGCAAGCCACAGCACGCATGTCTCTCGTTATTTCGCTCTTTCTCTCTCTCTCTCTCTCTCTCTCTCTCTCTCTCCCTATATACATATATGTGGGGAAACCAAAAAGGAGCCGATACCGCTGCTCCCTGGACCTCTCCCAGGGCACGTTCTAACAAGAATTCCGAGGCGAACCCAGCGGTGGCGACAAGGACCTCCCAGGCCCGAAAAGGGGAAAACGAGGGAAGCAGGAGAGACCATAATCGAATCGATAAGTCGCATCGGCGATCGAAATGAATCGGATCGGCGGAAATCGGCAGCCGAGTCGGGAAAAATCGAATCGGCAGATAACGGCAGGCTAGTACGCGTCCAATGAGGAGTCGGAACCCAAATCGGAAGCCTAAATCAAATCGAATCGGGATCGGAAACCACCGACATCGAATCGAATCGAATCGAATCGGAGGAGTCGAAATGAGCCCTGGGGAAGGGCAGCGGCATCGGCACCTGTTCCTCCTCCGACTCTCGACCGTGTCGCTTCTTGTGCCGACGCGCCGCCGTCCAGGCGCGGCCTGTCGAGTGCGCAGACTGCTGCGAGCTCGCCGTGGCCCTTCCCTACCAGTCTCTCCCTCGAAGAGCCTCTCCAGGAATTGCTCGGCAGGCCCTGGTGATCCCTGGTCCGTCTCTGCCCCCCCTGACCCCCTCCTCCTCCTCCTCCTCCTCCTCCTCCTCCTCCTCCTCCTCCTCCTGCTGTGAGACCATCGAGCTCGCAAGAGTGCCCCAAGGAAGGCCATGATCGGCTCCGCGGTGGCCCCCGCGTGCCGCGGGAAACCCGCAGAGACTCTCCAAGATGTCTCCGTGGAAGAGCCCCAGTGGCAACAACGCAAAAGTATGGTTGGTCTTGAAGAATTCCTGCACTCCGCACGTTCAGGTTCCAGATGGCCTACGGATGGGCTCCAGAGGCCTCTAGGAGGGTCTTCGAGACCCTCAAGACGCCCTGAGCCCAAGAGGCCACCAATACACCACCGCGCCAAGAGGGTCCGCAGACGGCCTAGGACCCAAGCTTACCCAAGATGGACTCCTGAGAGACCCAAGGCGGCCCATGAGGGCTCCTGGACGCCTAGGAAGACCCCCAAAAGTGTCCCACGACGGATCCAAGAGATGACCAGGCGCCCAAAAGAGCCCCAAGACGACCCAAGAGGGCTCCAAGACGGCCCAGGAGGACCTCAAGACGGCCCAAGAGGGCTTCCAGGGACCCCGAAGACTGCCCCACGGAAGCCCACGACAGCCCCAAGACGGCCCAAATACGCCAAATGAGAGGAAGTGGAGGCAACAAGAGGTGTCGCATCTGACGGCGTGCGGGGCGGTGCTCGAAGTCCTACCAGAGGGTGCTTCGCTGGCACGGTGGCGGATTCGCCGCAAGCACCCGGCTGTAACCCAAATATGACCCCAGAGGTTCCAGGCTGGCCTCGCAGGCGATCCCATTACGGCTCCAAGCTGGCCTTAATTTCAAAGCTGCCTCTAGAAACCCCAACATTGCACCAAAACGCTTACATCCAGCCCCGAATCCACACACACACACAACACAATACAACACAACAGCACACAACACAGCACAACAAAGCACAGCACAGCACAACACAACAAAACACGACATACAACACACACACACACACAAACAAACAAACAACACACACGCACAATGGGCGGCATAGCACATTCAAGAGGTCCCAAACAGGACCGAATTGGTACACTTCAGCTCTAGACGGCCAAGAGCGTCAACGCCAGCTGCTTCCAGTCCGCAGGACCTTCGCTGGTGCTTAATGGAACTGTGCTCGACGCGTAACCAAGCTGTGGGTTTGGCTCCCAGGACACGATCCGCCCTTACAACAGTTGAGGGGTGCGCTCACGAGGCCACGATGCTTCCCACAAACAGAATGGGAATGTTTCCCACGGCCACCAGCTGCCCCAGCACGGCCACCCAACATCGTCCAACACAGTCCCAGACCTCCCCGGAAATACCTAGAGATGGCCCGATGAGAACCCAAGAGGACCCCGATAATGCCCCGATAGAGAGACCAAGACCGCGCAAGAGAGCCCCCACCCTGACCCCAAAACAGGCCCCGAAACGACGCCGAAGCAAATTCGAACGCTCACCCACTTGCGCATCAAGGCCGAGGCGCGACTTCGTTTCGTCATTGGGCGGAAGGGGGGGGGGGGGGCTAGCTCGGAACCTCTGCTTAGTGCGACTGCTTGCAGCAGTGCGTCCTATGAGGGAGACCCCACCCGCCTGAGACAGGCGCCAAAGACAGCCAAGATCTACTTCATGGGGGGGCGAGAGGGGAGGGGGTGCGAGGGCCCGCGCCGATCGGCGAAACAAAGAATAAAACAAGATCGCGTTACCACCCGCCCGATGATTGTTTCCCGATGGCCATCCCTCATTCAGCTGAACGCCAGCAGGAGGGCAATGTCCCAAATTGTCGCCCAAAGAACAACAACTCTATTTTGAATTGCAGTGGTCCTGAGCGACGGGCACGAGCGCGGCCAGCCGACCACTTAAGAAGCGCAAGCCCGCGACGATCCGGGGCGCGAGGGCCCGCGCCGACCGGCAAAACAACGAATCATAAAACGATCACACTGCGGGCCCGCGGGCCATGGGGCGATCATCTTTTCAGGGGGATGGCGCTTCGCGCAATGGACAAGGAAACGCCTGCACAGACGGATGAGAAAAAGAGGACTTCTGTGACGGTCGGGTGTGCTGCAGCACCGCTGGCGCATCTTGGGCTTCCCATCCTCTCCCTCCTCCTCCTCCTCCTCCTCCCCCTCCTCCTCCTCCCCCCCCCCCTCCTCCTCCTCCTCCTCCTCCTCCCCTCCTCCTCCTCCTCCTCCTCCTCCTCCTCCTCCTCCTCTCCTCCTCCTCCTCCTCCTCCTCCTCCCTCCTCCTCCTCCACCTCCCTCCTCCTCCTCCCTCCTCCTCCTCCTCCTCCCTCCTCCTCCTCCTCCTCCTCTCCTCCTCCTCCTCCTCCTCCTGCCTCCTCCTCCTCCTCCCCTCCTCCTCCTCCTCCTCCTCCTCCTCCTCCTCCTCCTCCTCCCCTCCTCCACCTCCTCCTCCTCCTCCTCCTCCTCCTCTCCTCCTCCTCCTCCTCCTCCTCCTCCTCCTCCTCCTCCTCCTCCTCCTCCCAGGCGCGTACCCAGGGCGCCCAGAGTCCTCAGTGTCGACCGCCACTTCGCTGGAGGCGCATAAACGCCATCCTCACCTGTGAGAGGACGGGGCCCACCTGCGAGTCTGAAAGACGCGGGGCGAACGGAGCAATATAGGTATAGAGGAGATGGGCGACAGCAGAGAAGTGGAGGGCGTCAGAGGAGGACGGGGTGGGATAAAGACCGAGCCGAGCGATCGGGCACTCAGGAAGAGGGCGCCGCAACACTCTGGCACAATACGAGACAAAGACGGGGCAAGTGAGACGTGTGGGATCGCATCCTTCGCTCTTGGACTACACTTGACCACGCAGTAGCAGTCGCTGTTTTGAAATCTGGACTCTGCGGTCCAGGAGCCTGACCATGTTTTGATACACGCAGAGGCAAGGGCGGGCTGAAGCGAGCGGCACACATTCTGGATGGTGGACCAATCGATGGCGATGATGCGACCGCGGTGGCCTGGGAACCACTTCACGAGGCGAGCTGCGAAAGTCTCGTGGAGCGTGTCTGGGAACAACGAAGCCGCGAGAGAGCTCGTGATCAAGCGCTGGATCTTCGGGGGACAGGAGCGAGGAGCAGCAGCAGGAGGTTCGGCAAGGAGCGGGGTGCCGAGGTCGATAGCGTCTTTGCCAGCGCTTGCAACACGACGGCAGCTCGGGAAGCCTTGGGCGGCTTCGGCCAGCTGCTCAACAACAATAATAGTTTGACAAAACCTTGGACTCGGGCCATCCTGCAGCACATGTCTGAGAGGTCGGTGCTCGATGGCTTTCTGCTGGAGCGCTTCACGCCAAATTTCCCAGCCGCGAAGCGTGACCAAAGCAGCTCTCGTGAGGGCGGCTCTGGAGACAGCCTCGGCGCTCGGGTATTTGGGCCCACCCCGGGCCGAAAGATTAAAGAAGTCAGTTCTGCTCATCGCACAATGAGGTGTCTTGTACAGACTGGCAAGCTGGGCGTGCTTTTTACGGGTGACAGAGGGGGGGGGGGGGAGGAACTGACCGACGTGCGACAGCACAGGGAGGGCACGTCTGGAGTAAAGAGCGGCGCACACAGCTGTCGGGGCAGAGGCAGCCGCGATCGCGGCCGCGCGAGCAGCGTGCTTCGCGCATGGGGCGACCCACGAGTCGAGCACCACTGCCGGCCCCATGCGCAGCCCTAAGTAGAGCAGAGCCGGGGCGACCACGAAATCGCTCCATTCAGGGATATGTGTTTGAATCCAGCCTCTGTATTTGTCGGCTAACGCATCGGGGAACGGGCCAGCCAACGGGACCACAAAACACTTTTTGTGTCTAAGGAACAGAACGGCCAGGCGCTCTGCAGCCTTGACCATTCGGTACACAACTTTCATGAACTGAAGCTGAAAACCCACACTGCCTATGTCGTCTGCGCACGCTCGGGCGACCCCGCGTCGGTTCGCTTCGAGCGCATTCGAAAGGACGGCTAGGAAGGGGTGAGAAGCGATCGCGTATAGGGTGCCAGAGGCG